AGTATGTTACCATATTTGGGACTCTCTGCTCGTGTACTATAGCTATGCTTCCGGACTCTTCTGGTACTGTCTAGGACAATCCGTACTACTCCAGAACGGTCTAGACAGGTCTATGCCTTACTCATCTCTTACTCATCCTATGGTGCGATACGTCGCAATTCTTTCGTCATTGTATTATTCATCGCACTATGGTACATGTGACTAACCACTCTTCGATTAGTCATGGACACTTCACTGTAGTATATAAGGACTTCAGATTGCGTCCTCCCTCTTCAGTCTTTCCTTACTGACTGAAGAGTGAGTACTTCGTTACATCTATCTCTAACTTGTAGTTACTTACTTAACCTTTGTAGTCTTGCTTCGACTCTAGGTACAGTTCGTTGCTGCAATATAGTCTTTCCTTACTGACTGAAGATCTTGCTTCGACTCTAGTCGGATCTAATCCTTGTCTTCACAGCCCCGAGTTTATCATGAGGAATTTCCACGTGATGTGGTCCCAGCCGGGGGTGGACCGGGAGTTGGTGGCGTGGAGAGAGTCGAGGAGCTCTTGACGGGAGAAGGGCGGCCAGTCGCGGGCCGGGAGAGCCGGCATAGAGTCGACGATGGTGAGGTCTACGGGCCGACCTTCCGCAGAATGGAAGGTCGGGCCGGCGTTGTCGCGTGGATCCTCGGGGGTGAGGATTGGGTTGCCTAGGGAGTCAACGATATCAGCAGTGTCCGACCGCCGTGGTTTATACCAGGCTGTCAGGTCCCAGACCCGGGCATTGTTGGTGGCGACATCGTGGATGCGCTGTTCGAAGAAGGCGCGTTTGGCGTTACGGATGGCCTTGAAGTAGGAGCGGCGAGCTTCAAGGCGTTGAAGTTGTGCGATCTTGGGGAGGGCGGTGTTGGAGGGGGTGTCGCGATGCTGGAGGAAAGCGCGACGGCGTGCACGGGCGGTCTGGAGGGGTGGGGTGGTGTGTTTAAGGGTGGTGGAGAGGTGTCGCTGTGCTGTTTTGGTGATGTTGTTCCACCAGGGTTTGGAGCGGGCACAGAGATCGCGGGGCTGGGCATGGGATTCCCAGGTGGTGGAGATGGAGTCGTAAAGCGTCTGTGTGTAGCGCTCGACGTCGGGGCCAGAGTCCGGGCGAGGTGTCGAGTTGAAGAAGCCAACGAGGGTCTGGGCCAAGTCGGTGAGGAAGTCTTCGAGGTTGTCATCGGAGATTGCCGGTGATCCAAGAAGGGATATGGGATCGGTGGGCAGGGTGACGTATAGGAGGGCGTGATCGGAGAGGCCATGGGCCGCAGCCCGGACCTGAATGGAGTCACGTGGGTGGTCTCGTGAACTCCAGACGAGGTCTATGACGGAACCCCGGAGTCGGGGGTTGTGAGGGAAGTGCGTGGGGACGTCGACCGGGGAGCGGAGGTCAAGGTCCCAGGCGCCTATAAGGTGGGAGAGGGTGAGTAGGTCAGTACGCGGAGAGGAGGTTCCCCACGAGGGGTCCCAGTCGGGGCTGTGGAGATTGAAGTCGCCACCGACGCAGCGTACTTGATCTGGGAGGCGGGGAAGAAGGGAGATAAGGTCAGTAAGGACAGCAGAGTGACCGCGAGGGTCATTGTAGACATTAAGTAGAAAGAGAGGAGGGTCAGAGGACCGTAGCTGGAGACCGAGGAGTATAGCGTCTCGGTGCCGGAGTGCCGGGTGGCTGAAGGCGCGAGTTAGCGGTAGCCGGGTGTTGACGTAGCAGACTACGCGAGGGGGGTTGTCGTGATCAGTCTTGGAGGGTTCGAAGAGGCGCCAGTGGGAGTCGGACTGGGTGCCGAAGTATCTGTTGTCGTTGGTCCGGTCGCCGGGCATGGCGACGTTGCGTTTACCACCGGGCGTGGGAATGTGTTTGAGGGGGCCATACCACGGTTCTTGGATGCATAGAACATCGACATGGCAAGACAGCGAGGAAAGGAGGGAGGACATATGGGAGGGATTGTGGTTAGCATTGTGGAAGACAATGGTAAGGGAGTCGAGGGAGGTGTGGTCTCGAGTCATTTAGAAACCGGCCAGCCCAAGCCCGGGCGGAGGGTTGGCGGCGGGACGCGAGGGCTGGGCTGGGGCGGGAGCCGGTGGGTGGGGAGCGGTGGCTGTGAGGACGTGGACACCGTATGGGTGGGCCGTGTTGCAGCGGCGGCAGTGGGAGACGGCCGGTGCACGCATGGGGGTGGCGCCGGGAAGAGGGCGGGGACGTGTGTGGTTGCCAAAGGGATGGCGGCAGCCGCACGCACGGCAGAAGGGAGAGTTGTCCACGGCGCCTGGGCGGTGACGGCCGTAGAGGTGGGAGGTTCCACACGCAGTGCACGGAATGGGGAGGCCCATCTGGCGGGCGACAGCGGGATTCTGGGAAGGACAATTAGCAGTGCGGGCCGCAGTTTTACGTACCGGGCAGGTGGGGGAGGTTGAGGCGTGGGCCTCGTTTCAGAGCGCACATTGTATGGAGGCGTCTGGGGCCGCACGGGCCGAGTGGTCAAAGGTGCGGTGAGGACCGGCACATGTGGCACACTTGGGAGGGGACCGGCAGGTGCTGGCGGGGTGGCCGAGGGCTTGGCAGTTGGTGCATGCGAGGATGCCGCGGCGCACGGGACACGCGACAGCAATACGGGAACCAGCCCCGAGGTCGAAGACGAGGGTGCCGTTGTGAAGGGCACGGAGGCGCGCGAAGGCGGGAGAGTCTTCCCGAATGTCGACATAGAGGGTCGCGCTGTCGGGCGAGGGAGAGGGGTTCCAGCGGGCCGCCAGGACTAGGTCCATGGTAAGGGCACGCCAGGCCGGAGACGGGGAGCGTTGGGCAGCTGCGAGGAGGTAAGCGACCGGGTCGACAGGCTCAGAGGCCCCGCCGACTCGGTAACGGACAGAGGGGAGTTGGGAGATGGAGAGGGAAGAGTAGTATACGTACGACGTGCTGGTGACCGGGACAGAGAGGATAGTGGAGACGCAGGTGTCGAGCCTGTGAGCGTCATCAGTGGACAGGAGAGAAGAAGGGAAAACGACAAGGTTCCGGCCCGTCATGTTCCATGAGGCGGAGACGATGCGGAAGTTGGACTGGTTGAGTGCGTCAGTGATGGCGACCGTCGACGGATGTTGGTGTTCCGGGATGGCCGCGGGGAGGCGGAAGTAGCGGGCTTTGGCGTGTCCGGAGGGGAGGGTGGAGATCTTCTCGTTGATGACCTCGTTGATGCGGATGGAGGGTGATGAGGACCATCCAGTGGCCGGGCGTTTGGCAGCCATGGTCGACCACGGGGCAGGTGGAACAGTAGGCTGGACGGGGGCGGGGGTAGGGACTTGGGAAGCGGGAATGCTCGGGGTGGGCGGCGTAGCAGTGGTTGGGGCGCCGGTGGGGGCTGGCACCGGGGCCGAGGCGGGAGCTGGGGCAGGCCGGGCCGAGGGAGCGGGGGCGGGGGTGAGGCGGCTGTCTGTTTGGCGGCTGCGCGCTTGGTGACGGTCTCGTGACGTCTGGTGAGGTGATTCCCGCAACAGACGTCACAGCGGACGCCTCGCGGCAGGGAGGGAGCTTTTTTGGGAGGAGGAGTGGGATAATGAGGAGGGGCGGACGCATCAAAGGTTGGGGCGGCTGGGGTGGGAGTAGGGGGGCAGTTATGAGGAGAATGGATAGAGCCGGGGAGGCCGGGGTGGGTAACGCCAGGCATGGGAGAGGGGGAGCGGGATGGGGGTGTGGTGTGGATAGTGGCTGGGGGAAGGTTGTTGATGAGGTCGAGGACGCCTTGACCTTCGCGCGTTGAGAAAGAGGTGGCCTGGGGCGCCGGAGCGGCAGGCGGATCCCAGGAGACGATGCGGATCGCCGTGTTGATGATGGAGGGATGAGAGTCGAAGATGCATTCGAGGTGGAACGGGTAGACTTCAAGGGCGTCAGCTACCCGGGGGACGTGGGACCTGTCAAAATCCTTGGGGGGAACGTTGGGGTGAGTGCGGAAGAACATAACGAGTGCAAAGAGAATGTCAGTGACTGTTTCTGAGTCGAGTGAGTCGAGATCCGGTGTGAGGTCGTGCGCCTCGGGGGGGGGCGTCGCTGGTGGGGAAGGGGGAAGCGTCGAGGAGGCCGCGGACGTACGCGTAGGCCGCGTTTGCGGCTTTGCGGGACGCGGTGGAAAAGCCGTCATCGAGGAAGGCTTGAAGGATGTCCCCCAGACGGGCTTTTTCTTCCGGGGGGCGTTGGGATTTGGGTTGAGCGTTGAGTTTGGCCATAGCGGCCAGGAAGCGAGCGCTGAGAATAGCGGGGTGACGGAAAGACGGGACAGACGCCGGGAGCGGGGAGTCCGGAGCGGGCTGAGAGAGGGGGGTAAAGTGGGCACTGAGGGACCGGAAGTACCAGTCCAGTTCGCCGAGTCCGGAGACAGGCGGGGCAGGTGAGGCAGAGGGGAGGGGGCCATGAGGCAGAAGCGCGGCCTCGGCCGCAAGGTTGAAGGCGAGTGCAGGTGCCTCTGCATTGTAGAGGCGGGCCTGGGTGGAAAGGCCTGGGCCGTCGGGCTGCGTGTAGAGGCCGGCGGGCGTAGCGGAGATTTGAGTGTCGCTGGGGATGTTGAGGGTGGGAGGGGGCGAGATGGAGCGGGCCATAGATACGTCGGAACTAGTAGAGCTGGAGGGAGACATACGGGGAGCCGGGTCGACGGCAGGGGTTTTCTTTGAGGCAGCTTGGCCAGTAGAGGAGACTGTAGATGCCATTGTTAGTAGAGGACGACGAGGAGGACTCACGGGAGGGGATGGGAAGTGGGCGCTTATTGGGGATGGTGGTGGTACGAGTCGAAGGTGAGGCCCAGTGAGAACGTACATGGGCTCCGCTGTTTTAGGTCGGCGAAAGTCGTAGAAGAGTGGTTGAGGTCGGGAGCTGTCGGTTCAGATTGGGCAGATGGCGGTAGGCGCCCAATTCACGTCTTAGACTCTCATGACGGTGCCTCGATCGGACATGTCTCGACAGCGGTGACGTCCATTTGTCTCTGACTTAGAAATGTCTCTAGCCTGTGTCTAACTGTGTAATACAATACTTGCTTTGCGCCATACCCGTAGCACGCGTGTCATTTCAGCCGGCTGCCCAAGGCCTCCGCAGGATCCTCGTACCTTGTCTCGCCGCCAGACTCTGTTATGCCACGCTCGCGCCAGTCGAAAAAAAGGGAATTCTTCTGTGAATGTATCAAGTATTGCAGGGGCCAGCGGCGCCCAGTCCCTGAGCGGACGTACTACAACCACGAGGCCGCCC